GTAAGATTACGTGCTTTGTTATAAATATGTTAAGCTCGGGCATGACCGGAGCTACAACGGCAAATGTCATCAAAGACTTGTACAATAGACTCCCTATCTGCAACAGTGCTTGAGATATTACAGTCATGCATACTTGATGAGGTGAGTCTCACCAGGTGGCCTCCAAACCACTAGACCCAGCCACGTGATATCTTAAGGGAAAAAAGCATCTCCGGACTGAAATCTACGAAAAAATTTCAAATCAGACCAATTCAAACTACATGACTATTTTATTTTTATTTTAAGGAGAAAAATTACAAGTTGATCAATTGAAACACTTACAAGCATATAACCAAAACATAAAAGGTCTATAGATCTTTTTACCAACTTCAAAACCGCAATTGACGGTTGTGTATGTGTATGGTGGCCGATTACAGCTATGATTGTTGACAGCTAACCGATGCACGAAAGCTTTAACGATTATTTTCTATGGTGTATCATAATTAATTATTAGCATTTTGTCAATTTCATAAAGTCAATTACATTAGTGTTCTGTCTAACAGACATTATACCACACGTTATTTCACAATTTTTGTTTCACAAAATTCAAGATGGTGGTCAAACTTTGTGACCGATTAATTGGAGCACTCATGAAAAACAGATGCCCCAAACTTTTGTTCAATTTTGTCAAAAAACCAAGATGGCGGCCCAATCACCTGACTGGTCAAAATCATTTTATTTTTTTCGTAAGGTTTAGCCATACATGCTAGTAGAAAATACCAAGTTGATTGAGTTAATTATTCACAAGAAACAGTAGACAGTTTAGTGGACAGATGCAACATGGTAAATTTTACAATAAAAGAACAAATGTGGTATCAATAAAAATTTATCTCTGTTTAATACAAAATACAAAATGGTGGCCAAAGCACGCGACAATTCATAACAATTTATTCAAGATCAAAGCGTATAAAATTACAAAAGTTTAACGAGGTAATTGCTGAGGTATTTAGAACACATCACAGATTCTAAAATGTCATAGTCGGTATTTAGTGTACACTGCCGCCAGATTAAAACTCATAATTCATAATTGTTGTGGGAGAGCGCATTGGATTGTGGGGTAAATATGTTTATCTACACAAATCTCGCGTGTTTTGCAACAAACACCGTCATACCACTTGTCTCTACAGACATGGCTTGCTCTGATCATGGGTTGTTTACTGGTGTTGCGATCGCTGAAGCTTACCAGAAATTCAGGCCAACGTATCCCAAAGGAGTTGTTGATCGAATCATAAACTATCTCAATAGCAAGGTAAACGAGCGTTGCCTTATTCTTTGGGGGGTGTTGCTATACATAGGTCATGATCGGTGTTCTCGAGAACCTAGTTACATTATTTTGCTCTAAGTAAACACGTGGTGCTGGTTAAAAGGTCAGTATGGTAAATATACAATATTACACGACTAAGTGTAGGTGCACATATTCGATTCATTAAGTATGATCATTGTGCGAGTAATGGTATTCTATATTGCCCCGTCGTGGCATTCATTTCCCGATTGCCGTGGGTATGACAAAAATATAAAAGAATCAAAAGAAAAATAAACCCATTAGAAGTCAGCGGTATATTTGAAACAGTTTTTAAAATATAACTGAGTGAGCGTGGGTGGGAACAACAGGGGAAGCTAGAAAAACCATACAAGACAGATGAGAAATGTAAATTACCAGTTGGAAAAGGAATATTTTGCAGAGAAAATGAACTGACGAAGACGTGTGTGTTTCACTTAGTAAATGTGACCGTGACATTCTTTTTCAAATGCTGATACGAGTTAGTTGAAAGATGATGCCACTTTTATTTGAGTTTTTTTACGCTGTGAGTTAGAAACATGAATAAGCGCTTACTGCGACTCGGAACATTCGAAATCTATCCTACCTTCTGGATTGTGACCTCAGGTCACGCAATAAGTACAAAACAAGAAACACGTTAAATTGGTTAATGATTAAATGGTGTGTATGTG